GGGGGGGGGGGTAAATATGGTCATTTCAGGGCCAGGTCATTGTGCTTGCCGAACTCATTCATCCTGTGCCATTATAGGCAATTTTTATGGTTTTCGTACAGCTCTGTCTGCTTAGGGGAGGAGAAGAGAGCCTCTGTCTCTCCGTCTCTGAGCAATGAAGAAAGGAGACCAATAAAAGAGGCAGTGAGTGGCATCTCTCTCACTGGCAGCAGGGGAGGGGACCTATTGAGGGTCAGAATGTGTGTGCAATTAATCCCATTGTCAGGCTGGAAATGAGGGGGGCTGGGAAAGGATGGCCACAGTGAGAAAAGGCAGCTCCTGCTGGGAACTCCTTCAGGATACAGTATATATCTACTTTACCCTGAATAGACAGTCCCCCAACCAGCACCCCCCCCAAACACACACACACACCACCCCCAGCCTAGAGGAGGCCAAGCGTCAACTAACAGACAGTTTCACAAAAGGCACAAGGGTCATATATTGGAAAGAATTTATGGGCATTAAAGACGCATTAGTAACTATCCATAAAGCGTCAGCAGGTAAGAAAAAAAATCTGCCTACGCAGTTCTTTTACTGTCACATCTTCTTTACATCCTTTTATGTGACCTAAAACTCCTACATTGTTCTTGCCAGTTTAAGGTGTCCATTCTGTTTTGCATCTTCTCAGAATTCCTAGTTTTTCATGAACGGTGAATGATTTTCATGACACCGTTCATCTCGGTACCATGTTTTACTTTCCATGACACTTCTAAGTCTGACCTGTATTGAAGAGAATACATTTATACACAACCATTTTGATCTAAACTGTGAGGCAGGGAAAAACATTTCCTGCCTTATCAATAGTAGTAGTACATTTACAAAAACAGCTATTATTTTCTGAGGTTACTGTACATACTGTAGCCCCAAATCTGATTAATCCCGTGTAAGAAAGTTTTATAGAAAAGATTCAGGAGAATAAAATAATTTTGCATTACTGCTTGATCAGGTGAAAATGGAATTCAAAGATTGAAAAGATGGCAGGAGTAGGAAATACAAACATACCATGATCAATACAAACCAGTCCTTACTGTCCCAAAGGTAAATGTGAGGCTAAGCTCCATATCTAGAAACACATTATCAGCATTTTTAAGTCGGACAAGTTCCTTTCTAATTTTTGAATTTCACAAAGATCGCAGAAGAACTGGAATATCCTAAATAGAAATTTGGAAAAGCAAATTATATTTGTAAGTCAATTAAATCAATTTTCTGGTAATGTAATAACAATACTTAACAATCCACTTTATAATTTATTAACTAAATAAGAAGTAATATGGTTAAAATTGGTAGATGAAAAGAAGAGAAAGTTAACTGTTTTTTCATTATATTCATGATTACATAGTTTTGGACTACTATTAGCCCTACAATAAGCAAAAGTTTAAAGAAAGGCTAGGTATGAGGGGCAGCTTTATGAAATGCTCTATTCATGGACAAGTCATTTTTGACAGGGTTGCAGGGTCTTCCACTCACTCACAAGTCTTCATGTGAACCAGATTTTAAGACCTGATTAACATTATGCTGCCACATAATT